AAAAAAAAAAAAAAAAGAACCTGGGGAATTTTCTTCACATCCTCCCAGATTTGTCCTTCCCTGTCTCTTCCCTAGAAATTATTTCTTTTCTTTATATCCACAAATACAACACAACTGTAAAATTAGTAATCCTTCTCAAAAGCCTATGTTGCACTGGCTTTCTAAAAGAACAGGCACATGTATGTAAACATACATTGCCGGGCAACATTATTTTTTGTACCAGTAAACAACGTTGAGTCCTGCGGACTCACAAACTTTTACTCTCACGCAAAAAGTGGTGTGTTACATGTTATGCTTTGGTATTCAGTCTATCAAGTTAAGGTTCTATGATCCAACACAGTCAGCCTCAGATTAAAGGAGCAGCAGAAGCAGGTGGAGTGGGGATCTGAGCTCAGATCCCAAGCAGGCAGCTAGCTCATGCAGGCAGGGGCACCTGTGCTCAGATGTGGCAGCCCTGGTCCTGCCGGCTGCGTGGGTATCCCGTGACTTTAAGGCCCATTTGGTGGCTAGTTCCAGCAAGAGTGACGGTCTTGGGTGGTTGTCTAACCTACGCTCTGCTTTCTGTATTCTATTAAAAATGATGGAGCTTCTGTCAGAGCCTGATTCCTCTTCCTCTGAGTCTGAATTTCTTCTACCGCGAAGTGACAGGGAGAAAGGAGGAACAGAGGAGACAAGGAATTGAAGAATGAAACTTGTAAAACCAATTAAGCTATGGCTGCCTACACAGAAACAGGCTTTCTAAAATCCAGATTCTAAGGTGACAAAAGGTTGCTGCTTATACACTCTTTCTGTGTAGCCCAGGCTTAGCCCGGAACTCAGGATCCAACTGCCTCAGCCTTGTGGATAATGGGATTTGGTGTGCACCACCATATCAAGCTCTGAAGCTTATTAACAACGTTTATTTCAATTTTAGAAATCTCATAGATGGTCAATGTGAAAGCCTCTATCACTCAATAAAAATGCACATAGAATGCACCAGGCCAAGGTATGGGATGAATTCTGGGAAAACAGAATCATGCATAAAACAAACCTGAATCCCTGAAATTCTTTATACCATGGTTTATAATTCTCCCTTTTTATTCTTTTCCAGCTCACATCTTCTGGGGGCCAACATTTAGGAAGAAACTGATCAAAAGAATTCCCTGGGTTTGGCATGACTGGACTTAGCCTTCGCAGATACAGATCATCCTTGACAATGTTGGGTAGACTTGTGATCCTTTCTTCTTCCTCTTCCAAATAACAAGAGGAGATTGATGTCTCTCGGATTGCTGGCCATTTCTCCACCTTGGTGCCCCAAGTTTTCCTCTGGTTACTGTTCAAAACATCCAACCAGGTTAAGATAACTGTGTGAGCAATTTGTGACCCAGAACACAAAAAGCATGCATTCTGCCTCACAAAGTTTACACCACAGCAAATGAACACGCGTTCTCATCACCACGGGTCCTAGAACCATTAAAGCAGTACTTCGGTTTAGTTACAAGAATGGCCAGGTACACCTGGCCAAGGACACTGAATTGGAAGCTGTGTTAAAAGAAAGGCAAATTCCAAACCAATTGGGTGTTACTTTCTGAATTCAATCAGTAACATGATAGACATTCAGATCCGAGACATATATATTTCTGACAAATCTGTCTCTGACCTCAGTGTGGGTAGCCCAGTGGCCAATGTGTCAGGAGAAAATATTTGCAGATAAGAGTTGGAACAAGTAGTTTTTGAGACAAAACGCTCAGGTCTCTTTTTCGCTTGGAATCTACGATTGGCTAAGTCATCCGAAATCACGTCAGGCAGCCTTCGTTCATCGTCAGTGTCAGAATCACTCTCTGAAGCACACACCTCCTTACAGGAAGTTGGATTTGAAAAACAAGCCTCTGCTCGGCTAATTTGTTGAGAACTAAAAGGATTCTTTTCCTGTCCACTAAGATCAACCAAAAAAAAAGGAAAACAATAGAAGAAAACACGACATAACTCACAATACACGGTATCAGTCATCCAGCAAACTAAAAACTACCAATAAACTTTCAGCCATGCATCTAAAAGAAGACTTAGAAAATTATACACCAATGCTCTAAAACAGAACAAGTATTCTCAAGGTAAGTATGACTAAAAATAGGGATGAGAAAAAAAATTCTCATTGGTGAAATTTATTACTTACAAAATACATTCCAAAAGCTGTTCTTTTTGCCTTATTTCCATACCCCCATCAAATTCACATAGCATACAGAATCCCAAAATCACATCTCATCCCAGTACCTTGAGAATGTTCCATCTGCTTCTGTATAGACCGGGCTTGCCCAGCTCCTTCGGTTATCCTCATTTTTGTCTGGCTTTTTCTTCCTCAAGGGTGCCGGCACATAGGATGCCTGTCTACTTTTGTTGGGTAAAAACCGATTGAATGGTAAAGCAGACTTGGGTTCAATAGCCGAAATCCTTCGATAGGACATGTCATCTTTGTTATAATCCTGCATTCTGAATGTCAATTCTGAATCTGTGTCACTTTCACAACCTAAAATAAATAAATTAATCAATAAGCACAAGAATTTGCTGGGCCCTCCAAATTATTCTCCTAACTGCAAGTCCTCAACAGGTCTGCTTTGTCTCTTTCTCTGGAAAGCCTGTGCTGCTCTTGTGAGCTGCGGGGAATATTTTTAGAAATTTGTCGTGAAGTTGTGATAAGATCCATTAGGAGGAATTTGCTTTGCATGCTGGAGATGCATGCAGTACATTCTTTTGTTGTGGGACATTTGAAGCAGAGAAAGTCCCAGTTCACTGCTGAACCTCTGTTCTTCCCCATTGTCTTTGTCTTCGGGATGGTTCTTAAAATTAGTTCACATGATGAACAAATCTAGCAATCACCATAGATGCTTAAAATAACATACATAAGTAATTCTAGAGAAACTCTGGTTTCAAATGTAGCTATCAAATCTACCTGAGGGGAAAGATAAGACCCAAAAAGAGAAGTAGCCAAGTACCAGTTGTTCACATCTGTAATCCTAGTGACTCAGGAGGCTGAGATCTGTGGATGGTGATTTCAAAGCCAACCCAGGCAGGAAAGTCCATGAGACTCTGACCACCAATTAACCATAAAAAGCTGCAAGTGGAGGTGTGGCTCAACTGGTACAGAGCTAGCCTTAAGCAAAAAAAGTTCAGCTCAGGAACTCAGGAACAACACCCATGCCCAGGAATGGAGGGAGGGAGCAAGGGAGGGAGGAAGAGATAAAGGGAGAGAGAAAGGGGGAGAAAAAGGGGGAGGGAAAGAGAGAGGGAGAGAGAGAGGGAAGGAGAGAGAGAAACAGAAAGAGAGAGAGAGAGGAGTTAAAGACTAGACTGGGTGCCAGTGGCTCATGCCTATCATACTAACTACTCAGGAGGCTGAGATCTGAGGATTGCAGTTGGAAGCCAGCCTGGGTAGGGACGGCTATGGGACACATATCTCAAATTAACTGCCAAAAGACCAGAAGTGAAGATGTGGCTCAAGTAGTAGTATCAACCTTGAGCAAAAATATTAAGGAATAGCACTCAGGCCTTGAGTTTAAGTCCCATCACTGGTGTGAATGTGCACACACATACGTACGCACTCCACACAAAATGCACAGGGGTTGGAGTGATCCTTATAAAGCAGCCTCCCAAAACAAAACAAGTCCACATGAGAGACAGATACATAGGATCATGTCTGAAGTCCTAAAGGAATCTCAATTCTTATGCCTAAGAATCCAGAACTCATGGCTTCTTCTAATGAATATGGAAATTATATTGAGAACCTTGTACTTTTTTATTCCAAAAGATAAAAACAAACTCAAAAGGAAACCCTTTGCGACCGACTAACCACTCAAGGACAGATAGATACAAAGAGCAACATTACTCTTTCAAAAAGAAAGCCAGGCTGTTCTTAAAAACATAGGAAAAGAGCAGAGATAATCCTTCAGATCCAGTTAGGATCTGCTGTTCTCTTCTCCCTGTCTCTTGTGCATTTATTCATACAGTTTGCACTTGTTGCTTGCCTCCCACCAGACTACTCTCTGAGCCACACCATACCCAACACCTGATTGTAGCCTCTCAGCAAGCTCAGCACCTGCAGGGTTAACCTGAGCTGAGTGTCTTACTCCACCCTCTTGCCTGGCAGGAATGTACAGTAAACAGTACTGGGAATAGCCCACAGGATGTGGTTTGTCATGCAGCTGTGACACAGGGACAAGAGGAGAAGGAAGAAAGAATAGACCAAGAGGATTACAAGTCAGTCTAGTGGGTTTCCTTTGCTTTTTTTTTTTTTAACCAACTCCTAAAAAGAAGTCATTTCTCTTATTTACAAAAAAAAAAAAAAATCACCCAGGATTCTTGTCAAAATGAACATATAACATTTTAAAAGTAAACTGTTCAAATTTTGAATCTTTCAAGTTTGAAATTTGTTTTACCCCGGACAGTGCGCTACAGTTTTTATTTACTGTATTATTTTCTCTAGTTTTGTTTTGTTTTTGGTTTGGTTTGGTTTTGTGTCAGTCCTAGAGCTTGAACTGAAGGCCTGGACACTAAACTTTAGCTTTTTCACTCATGACTAATATTCTATCACTGAAACTACAGTTTCACTTCTGGCATTTTGGTAGTTCAGTGGAGACAAGAGTTTCATGTACTATTTTGCCTGGACTGACTTCAAACCATGATCCTCAGATCTCTGCCTCTAGAATAGCTAGGGTGAGCCACCAACACAAAGCAACCTCCAAACTCTTTCAACAAGGCTCATTTACAAATATTTTCTGGGGACCAGAAAGCAATGTGACTATGGCCCTTGCTTGGGTTACACACACTTAGCCCCCAGCCCAGGTGCCTGAGGACTAGAATCCCATATCACTGCTACAGAACACTGAATGGCTGAAATCTGCAAAGCCTACACTTTCTCTTATTCTTCATTAACAACATATAAATGTAAACAATGCATATAGTAGCTTCTTTAGTGAATAAAATAGTATGAGGGTTTGAGAATTTCAGTCTCTGTGTTTACAACTTTAATCACACAGATTAATTGTAAGCTCAGATTTATTTCCCTAAAGCTGTGGCAATTGTCATTTGTGCTATGAAAATGTCAAGCTTAGAAAGCAAACATCCAACAAATGCAGTACTAATTATAAAAAGTTAATGCTTCAACAGGCATTCACACCTTTAAAACACTATTACAATTCCGAAGCTAAAGAATTTAGGTTTCTTTAGGGTATTTGCTGATGTTTGAGGAGTTTTTCATCCTGAAATATTTCATCCTGACATATTTATAAGATGATTTCTTTGTTGCTTTGTATGTCCCTCCCCCACGGTATAACCCCTGCTTTCACTGTATTTGATGTTGGTATAATTTGTGGAGGGGAAGGGGAAAAACAAGTCATTTAAATAAATGAGAAGTACAAGTTGTCATGTCGAAAACAAACTTTACAACTTTGGCGGGGGGGGGGGGGAAGACCTACGGGGGGAGGTTGGGGGAGATGGGAAGGGATGGGAAAATTAAAATTAAAAATATATATATAATGATGCCCATAATAAACAAAGTAAAATCCCCACTATTCAAGCACAGTTCACAAGCAGAATTGACAATTTTCTCATGATGATGGTAGTGAAAGCACAGAACTATCAAGAAAAAAATGATTTCTTTCTGGTGCTAGCAGTCTAAAACCATGGCCATAGGAATGTTAGGTTAGATAAACATTCTGCCACTGAGCTACAATCCTAGCATTTCAACAAATTTTATTTGTGATTTCAATCTACTCAATCTGCTCACCTAGTAGCCATTGAAATAAGACCGATATTAAAATAATTGCTTTGAACAAAGGTTCCCTCGTCTAACTTTTTGTGTTAACAGATTTCTTTCATAAATGCTCTGTCTTGGGTTAGCTCGACAGAAGTCACTATGCTAGCATATGACCCAATCCATCAAAAGCTTAAGAGATAATTATTGAAATAGTTTTTCATTTAATGAGAGCTGAAAAAAAATAATATCTTTAGGAATAATAAGGTGGTCAAATAAAGTGGTCAAATCCCATCTAAAATTAGAAGGAAATTCATGGAAACTATCTTCAATGTGAGGGAGACAACAATAAAGTAACTAACAATGATTCCATAAGTCCTTGTTAAAATCCACTGAGAGGTGCAATTTTTGCTAAACTAGCTCTCATTACATTATTCTACTTTCTCTTATTCCCAACTTTCTCTGACTAGGCAAACCAAACTAAACTGACAGCCAAAACTGCAACTCACCGTCCCGTCCCCCTCTCAGTGTGATATCTGAGGAGCAGCTGGTCAACGACCTGGAGCCCAAGGAGTCCAAACTCTCAAAGGAATCTTCCCTCTTATGTCTACCTGGAGGAGCCAGAAATTCTCCTCGGTCAGGACACCAGAAATCACTATAGCCACTGTCACGGCCACTTCTGTTCAGGCAGCTGGAGTCTTCAAGTGCCTAAGGAGAACATTTGAATGGTGAGTATGTTAGGAGCAGTAGCTCAAGCCTGTAATCTTAGCTACGTAGGAGGCAGAGATCAGGGGATCTCAGTGTGAGGCAATCTGGCTAGGTACAGTTCCATGTGCCTATTATACCAGTGATTCAGGAAAGCACAACTAGGAGTATCACATTTCAGGTCAACCTAAGCATAAAAGTGGGAGCCTAATTGAGCACCAGTGGCTTATATCTGTCATGGCGGGCTGAGATTGGCAGGCTCAAAGTTCTAAATCAACTCAAGCAGAATTGTCCATGAAACATCATCTCAGCAAAGGAAATCTGGCCACTGTGGTATTTTTAAGTCATCCCAACACACTATGGGAATCTTAAAATAGGGGAGTCACTGTCTAGGAACACACCTAGGAAGGATGCAAGACCCTACCTCAAAAATAGCCAGCAAAGAATGGGGCTGGGGAAGATCTCAGTGGTATAACACCTGCCCAGCAACAGTGAGCCCTTAATTTAAACTCCAGGACCACCAAAAAAGAAATAAGAATACTGTGTTATTATAAACCTCAAAAAGCCAGAAAATATATCTGGTTCAAAAAAACAATAAGAGCATGTTCAATATTACTGAATGGAATAGTACGGTCAAATTTAAGAAAGAATAGTCTAATAAAATACAGTTTACTAAAACATCAAATGGCTAAAGTCAATAATTGTTTATAGTTTTCTGGCCAAATAAACATGAGAGAATCCAGGAAAAAAAAGTGTTCATTTAGACATCAAAAAAGAGCTTTGTCAGTAATACTATACAATTACAATATTATGCAATATTCTACAATACAATATTTACAGGAAAAATTAAGAGTGACTTATGTTCAACAAAACCATAATGTTCATAATGTTAATGTCCTATAAACCCTCACAACTAAGTTTTGTTGTTTTTTTAAAGAGCAAGAACAATGGGTTTATGCATTATGGATTCATTTATTTTCACTAACTACAAAACTGGAATCTGAGGTGCTGGCAGGAAGGTTGCCTTTCTTTTCTTCTTTTCTTTTGGTGCTGGTCCTACTGTTCCTGAGCCTTTTTTTTCAAGGCTAGTGTCCCACCACTTGAGCCACAGCTCCACTAGAGAAAAGACGTTCCTGCCCTGGCTAGCTTTGAACCAAAATTCTTATATCTCAGCTTCCTGTGAAGCTTGTATTACAGGAGTGAGCTACTAGCACCCAGAATAACTGCCTTTCTTGACAAGTCAATTGAAACACACTGTTTGCTAATATATATAACATTTACTTTCCTTGGATCTAAGTATTTGTTTTGCTCATGTAAGAAATGCAAAAGCTGTTACCAATATGTTTGTAAGTTATACTCAAAATAAGCATTTTTAGTTACTAGTCGTCTGAAATTTAATGGCAACACTTAAGTGAAAATGCTAATTTTCAAAGCTTAGTTAAGTAAAAATTAGCAGTGTAACTTTTAGGTGAGATTTCCTAAAACAGTTTAAAGAACCTAGGAATTACTAAAAACAAAAAATGTATAAACTTTGATTCGATCATTGTTCAAATTTTTTAAATCTATGAAAATTAAGTTGGGAGACTCAACAGACTAGGAAGTAAATCACATAATAAATAATAGGGAACAGTTATGAGATTTCCTGAAAATTTTTCAAAGGAAAAGAACTCTTAGGGGACTCACGCTAAATATTTCAAAGTGAGTTATATCTTAAATTTATCTTAAAATGGTTAAGTAAAAATCACAGAACTGAGTGCCAGTGACTCACAGCTATAATCCTAGCTACTCAGAAGGCTGAGGTCTAAAGATCATGGTTCAAACCAGTAAGGACAAAAAATGTGAGAAACTGTTATCTCCAAGTTACCCACAAAAAGGCAGAAATAGAAATGTGGCTGATGTGGTAAAACACCATGTTCTGAGTTCAAGCCTCCAGCCATGGCCCAATGAAAAGGGGGGAGGTGGGAACACAGCAATAGACTGGCTTGGCATACACACACAAAGCAAACAAGAAAATTTAAATTGAGTCATATCTCGATTAGATTTATTACTTTCTCAACTTTCCTTTATGCGTGATTTTGACATGGGAATATGGCTGAAAATGTTCTCAATGAAAAATTAGCAGCTGTCTGAGGCACACTTCTGACTCACACCAGATCCATCAATTCATGGTTCAGATGTTGGACCAGTGTTTGAAGTACCCATCAGGTCTAGTAGATTTAAGTAAGATTTCATAGGCTTTATGTGCCAGGCATCCTGTCATTGGTGTTGACACTGCATCATGAAAATGTCAGCCTCTTCTACACCTGCTGTTCCCATGCAGATGGGGAGGCTAAGCCTACGGATGGCACCAACAAAATATGGATCCAAATGTAAGACGATTACATTAACTCCTTCCAGTATCTTAAATTTATGACGCGCCGAGCTAACAGACAAGATGATTTTTCATATCATAAATGTTAAAAGTGATTCATGGCAGGCCACTTCAGTTGCAAAATAACCCTAGTCTAGCCATGGAGCTTCCTTTGGGAACACCTTACATGACAAGTGTCCTAAAATGAGTTCCCTTAAGCCTGACTCTAGTATAATAGTGTATATAAAGGTTTTGTGGTTGTTTTGTGCCATTACTGGGCTTGAACTCAAGGATAGTATGCAGTTCCTTAGCTTTTAAGCTCAAGGCTAGTGCTCTATCACCTAAGCTACAGTACCACTTGTGGCTTTTTGGTGGTGAACTGAACATATGAGTCCCATGGACATTTCTGCCTAGGCTGGCTTTGAACTATAATACTCAGATCTTAGTGTCCTGAAAAGCTAGGATTACAAGTATGAGCTACTGGTGCCTGGCAAAAAAAAAAAAGAAACTTAATACACACACACAAGGCACACAAGGGTGTGTGTGTGCCTGGCAAAAAAAAAAAAGAAAATACACACACAAGGCACACAAGGGGTGTGTGTGTGTGTGTGTGTGTGTGTGTGTGTGTGT